CACGAGTCTAATTTTTTCTCGGATAGATTTCCACAGATTTACCAGAAAGCCCTGCTGTTGTCGGTCAAAAAGTCGAATACGAAAAGCGGAGGTTTGGGGAGTGTGAAATCGCCCTCACAAATCTGCCACCTGCTCTTCATGGAATAGCCGTTATAGAACGCTATACCGGTTCGGTCGTCATCCAGGTTACCAAGAGCAGCGTAGTCTGTTATAGACCTTAGGCAGAGTGGAAAAGTAAGTGACAAAAATATACTTCACGCCTTCTGGTAGTTGCGGGCCTAGCAACTCTGCGCCCGCTGTGATGCTGGGCACAAAATGACGAAGAGTCCAGTCACAGCAGAGTCACTATCCGTTTTTATGAGAGAAACAGAGGAAGCAGACATGTCACTGAAGCACGTCAGATAAGATTCCACGCCAATAGTGCAGATAGTGGGAGCTCGCAGTCGGAAACCGGAATTTCTAACTGCTCAGAAGAAAAGAGCAGGAACGAACTGGTGAGGATGCAAGTCACCAACTGCGCATATTCACACTCTCGTAAATGAAGTATTGAGGTTCTATAATTCTGAACCTCTGTGGCTGGAAGCTATTCTATTTACGTGTCGACCTATGACGCAAACACGCAGGTAGAACTCAAACTCACTGAAAGAATTAATGAGTAGAAGTCTGTCAGCCGTTTAATGGATATTATCCGGTTGAAGCTATAGCATTCTAATGCCGTGACTTTTATTAGAGGTTCGTGCAACATAATCAGAGGGATAATATAAGTCATTCCTGGAGAAAGTACAAGGTGCTCTGTCTGAAGTGCTGATTACGGAAGCAATTATTTTAATGGACGATTTCAATACCTATGTCAAAGCAAACACTGAAAAGTGGAAGGGCCCTTGCGACCTCAACAATAACGGCATGAAGCTGTTGCGCTTTCATGCAAACAACGGAATGTCTGTTATGAACACGTTTTTCGAGCATCGAAGCGTGTATTATTATGTCAGGTACAGAGAAGGTTGCGCACAGAGATGGAAGATCGAATTGACAATTGTATCGTTTGACATATGGCCCTCTGTAATAGATATTCGCGTTTATGGCCGATTTGTAGTTATGACATGTTGTTGGCGGCCTACGCTATCTAGGGTGGAGAAACATGCGAAGACCTGGTGGCAGAAGCCATCGGTGAATCAAATAGGAAACATTATATGAAAGAAGATCTTGCAAACATTATCATACGTCGAATTTATGGACGGCAAACAAAGCTTTCTGACCGATCACCCGGTGTCACCGAGAAGGAATGATGGACGGTCTTAAAATCTTGAAGGGTAAGTTTAAAGCCTTCCTACCAAGATAGGGGATACACTTCAGCGATGACGAGAGCGTTTTCAGGAACTCCTTAATCCTAAACAACTGCAGGAATGTTCGTCTGAAGAGCAGCGGGCAATGGATATTTGTCTTTCACTTGAAGAAATCATGGATGGTGCGAAAAGAAGTATTAAAAGAAGCAAGACAGTTGAATGGATAAAATCCTTAAAGTTTTAGGTGAAAAAAAGCACGTCAGTAACTACGTAAAGACACCTGTGGACTGGAAAAATGGGGTGGTAGTAATCCTTTTGAAGAAGGGATATCATTGTGACTGTTTTAATGATCGAGGCACTATCTTATTGAAACTCCCGGTTAAAATTTTTCACAAGGCTGTTGGAAAATGATTGGCAAAATGGAAGAATTCAAGAAAAAACACTAGCAGTGCTGAAGTACCTTTGACCAGATATTCGCTTTATGCAAAATGGTTGAGATCAATGAGTTTGTTCATCCGGTTTACATACGCTTCGCTGACCGAAAGAGTGCCAATGATTGGATCCTATGCAAGAAGCTGTGGACGTGTCTGCAAACTTCTTGAATCGATATGCGGCTGCTAT